CTTCGCGTTCTGTGGCGGATGGTGTCATTACTGCGGGTATCCCGGTTCGTCGTCAACGAAGACTCCTCTGTGGTGGTGTCTGATGCTCGTGATGGCGGTGATCTGTCGTCCATAATCCACAGGTTTGTTGCCTTGCTGCGGCTCTGGAGGCGTCTGGGACGTGGTCGCTTCACGCTTCTGCATGACGGCAATCATCGGGTCGGTCGAGTACATCCAGGATCGCTGCGCCAGCGTGTCTCGCTGGGGGCTCGGAGCTCTTTCGGTAGATTTCACCCATGGCGCCTGAAGCTGCCTTGCCGCGTTCGACGGCTCGTCCACCTGGTCCTCCTGCTGCGATCATGGCCCCACTAGTCGATGTGTACGAGGGTCTTGACGACGCGAAGTGGTTTACATGGACGCGATGTTGGGTCGAGATCATGCTACGATCGGGCTCTGGATCTGGCACGGGAAGGACGGAGCGAAAACCTCGACTATAATCAAGAGACGCAGTCTGACGGATGGCCTCGTCGACGTTGTTATCGTTGATCATACGTAGCTTCGGGCGCTGTACAACAAGAACAAGTCAGCTCCAGACAGTTTTCAGTAAAGGACTTGATGACGTACCGGTATGATTGGCTGCGCTCCGTTGAAGTCTGTTCCATGAGTCGTCTTGAACTCTTTCTACCACCAGAGTGTGCCAATAAGAAGAGATGCTCATTAAGACAAGAGGTATCCATACGCACCACTCTGTCACGAGGAAGCACACCGTTCAGAGGCTCTGCGCGCTCTTCGTACCAGTTATCTATAGAAACCCGACAAAAGTCAGCACCAAGCTGGCAAAACTGAAGAAGTTCTTTCACCGCACCATTCAAAGTTTCGCGGTGGTAGCTCTTTAACGCCATGACTTTTTCTATGAGGTCGATGCTGTTGCGAATTCAAGCGAGTCGATGCTTCGTGTCGAGCTCCCTAAGAATAGGGAGCGACAAGATTAGCGCTGACAAGTCAACAAGTGCCTGCGAAACGGACAGCTACTGCGTCACCGAGCGTCAAAGTCGAGAGAAGTCGTGTCGAGCGACATTGGCTTAAACATGAGCCACCGGCTTTCCCAGAATGCAAGACACACGAAAGATCTGCTCGAAGAACTGGAGCGAGACAAGGAGCTCGATGTGCTTCGAGAGTACCTCACCCGGTTCGAGTTGTTTCCTCGACAGCGTGACCCCGCAGCGGCTCCAATTCGGTTCGAGGAGCTAAAAGAACTCGCGAAGCACTGGAAACTGCATCGCCAACGCAACTTTTGGAAGACCAACACGACCAAAGAAGACCTCGTACGAACACTGTACCGCCACATCAACACCAGGATCATCCCACAAGACACTCGAGACGACAACAACGGCCATGCATCATCGTCCCACGTGGTGAATAGTCCCAGTGGGATATCACCCGCTCCTCCCCCAGCACGACGCCATTCTGGGTCCTTTATCGACGCGCCAAGGAATCGTCCCATACTGAAACCC